CGTGTCACCATGCAGGTGCCCTGGCCAAAGTCGAGTACTGCACCGTGTTCACGCATCCAGCGGCTACCAAGCATGAGATCCATGCCTTCGACTAGCTTAGGCATGACCTGCGCTACGATTTTGCAGCGGAACCCTTGGGTACGGATCGACAGGTGTACCTGATCTTGCAGGCAGACGCTGTTTGCGCCGTCTCAGCACGCAAGATGCTACATGGCTTGCGTGGGGCTGTAAAATTAGTTTTTGCATGAGTGTGGCGAGAGATGAGAACATGTGAAGCGCCTGAGTGAACTAAGGTGCTGGCTTTGGTGCTAGCGAAGTTGCACGGTAATGGCAGCACGGAGCTGTCAGTAAGAGGTTCTAGTGCAGAACACTTAGCAGTTTCCTGACAGGTGTCGAGACAAGCGTGGAACTCACCAGTGCAGAATGGGTAGAGGAGGGAGAGGAGGGAGAGGTGGGAGAGGAGGGAGAGGAGGGAGAGGAGGGAGAGGAGGGAGAGGAGGGAGAGGAGGGAGAGGAGGGAGAGGAGGGAGAGGAGGGAGAGGAGGGAGAGGAGGGAGAGGAGGGAGAGGAGGGAGAGGAGGGAGAGGAGGGAGAGGAGGGAGAGGAGGGAGAGGAGGGAGAGGAGGGAGAGGAGGGAGAGGAGGGAGAGGAGGGAGAGGAGGGAGAGGAGGGAGAGGAGGGAGAGGAAGGAGAGGAGGGAGAGGAGGGAGAGGAGGGAGAGGAGGGAGAGGAAGGAGAGGAGGGAGAGGAGGGAGAGGAGGGAAAGGAGGGAGAGGAGGGAGAGGAGGGAAAGGAGGGAAAGAAGGAGTGGAGCACGTTTTATGTTGCTTGTTTTGCCGTGTTTGTCTTTTCGGACAACAAGGCTCAGGCTTTTGTGAACGCATCCCAGGATTACCCGAATACATCCCAGGCAAACCAGGCGAAGAAGTCGGCCTTTCGGCCACCAAGGCACAAACCAGGTACAAGACGACGAACGTTTTTATAGTGTGAAGTTTATTACACGAGCACAACTCATCAGTTCGCTTTGCTCCTTGTAATCATTCCATCGGTAATCGCACCTCATTCAACTCACTGTGCGCGTACCATGTATCATCAGCCAAGTCCCGTCGCAACATAGGCTGCAGCACCCCCACCCCCACCCACAACACAGTTAGACAATTCTTCAGGTGGGCAAGCCTACATACGCGTAGCGTGAGGCTTTGACACTGCTTATGTGGTGACGCCAGGCCCATCTGAGCATCCCAGGTTACGACTTTGCTGTATTACAGCTAAGCTTGGAGACTCAGTCAGAAAGCTTTGAAGGACATCACCTAGAGGACAGGATCTGACAGTATGTACCACGTGAACATCTGAAAGGCTTTGGGCCTGTTTCCCTTGGCTTTTGGTGCCACCTGTTAGTGCCTCTTTCCCCTAAAAGGAAAAATAAGGTCCATGGAAACCATGGCCTTTTAATGATTTTTAGTGGTCTACTAGGGACGGCCCTTTACTGAAGTACTAAAAGTACAACAGGTTTTCGTTGTAACTTGCATCTTTCCACCCTTTTAATGCATAAGGGCTTTCATTATCGGTCACACTTTAGCATTCAGTCCGGAACTCTCAGTACACAGATTTACCACTCGAGAGCTTACTGAATGTCAACTATATCGCGACACCGTTGGGCATAGGGCCCAGCGTGCGTGTTTGAGAAGAAGCCTACAGTGAAGCAGGCGTGGGCGACAACAAGGATACCACTGAGACCTCCTTGACAGGCAAAGGCATTTCTATACTAAGCCGAAAAGAAGATTCGGCATTTCCTTTTGTGTGAGGCCATGTGCCAGGCGTTGCTGAGGCAGGCGAAGCCATATATGCCGCATGCCACTCCAATGCATTTACACTTACGTGCCGGATA